ATTTAATAGTCCCAGGATTAAGTCTATTCCTGTGTTCTCAAGTTCCTGTTCCTCTAGTTACCAACTTCAGCTTGTATCTGACTGTGCTTGTTCACTGCATGCCCTGACCTTTGGCCTGTTCCCATTCCTGAGATTGTCTTCCAACTTTGTACCAGGCTCTGGTTTTATCCTTGTTAAGCTGCCATCTGCAAGGGGGTGTCTGAGGGCCGCATCCTGTGAGCCATTCTACGGCAAAGACTATCACTCATTGCAGGGTATGCTGGTAAATACAAGGCAGCTCCTTAGACTCTGCACCTCAGCCCATTTCAGGGCTCACACCCTCTTCAAATAAGCAGATGGCACAGAGGTTCCACTACCCGGTTTGTCAATGACTATGTTTCTGTACTTGGACAAATGTACTTAGCCTAATAAAAATCGAATAAAAATCTAATGTATCCACCACATCTATAGACTGGTAAGCTCCAATAAATTTTATTTTGATAACATTTTATTTAAAAATAGGCATACCTGCAGTATAAGAGAAAACATTTACCTACACTAAAAGAAAACCGCTCTGTTAACTAGAATTCCTCCTTCTTCTTTAAAAATTCATTCAAATTATTTTAGTGCACACAAACACAATGTAATAGCCATTTATTTTGTGTGTGCAATAAATCTTTACTGAAAAAAAGTTTTTGTTAAATACATACAAAAGAAAAGGGGAAACCCAACACATGTTGGGAAAAAAACACATCAAACAACAACGCGAATTACATAAAATGTGTCAAGAAGAAGTCATTCAGCATGAATGGTATGAACATAGTCAAGGGTAAAATGGTGAAAAAACAACACGGAAAGGACAACACAAAAGGAAAGGCGGGCAAAACACAACAAAGCTGCAGCTCTCCCACCACCTCCGCGGCCACAGGAGCAGGGGGTAAACGATCAAAATAGCATGGCTCCACGATCAAAATCCTCAGGAAAAAAGGCAGTGATCAAGGGATCGCAGACAGTCGAGTACTTAGCCAGGGCATCTATCTGTGATGCTGTCATTTTCTCTAAAACATAACCTGCGACATAATATAAAAAATCAACTTAAGGAAAGGGAGGGCGTCTTCCAAGAACGCACGATCCTCTTTCTAGTTGCAGTAAAAATATATAACAGCAATTAAAATTGGCGGTTAGTGACTTCCGGTGGTTTCTGATTAAAGAGAGCAATATGAGCATTTTTGAAAGGGTAAAGCCAAATACTACACGTATCTTGGCAAAAATCTTGGACCAAAAACGGGTTACAATCGGGCAATCTCAATAGCCATTTTTTAAAAGCATATCTAATGCATATGTTTGTATGTGCATGTAGGTAGAGTCCTTTAAAAAAATATTTTCATTTATTTTATTAAATGTTTTCTTTTTTTTTTTTTACTTAACTTTATTGCTTTCACAAGGGAGCTAATGAGCCCCATATGTAATAAAATAATACAGGTGACAGGTTCTTTTTAAGGAGACATCAGGGGCTATATTACACCCCTAATGCCACCCCTGGACTCTTTTGAAGCTAATTTAGCAGCCAGATAGGCCAGAGCGGCCAGAGATTGACAGCTCTGAAACACAAAGCGCTTAAAGCTGAGAGCTTCTAGGTTCATTCTTTACAGGGGAGATCAGCGAATGCATGTTGAGTCACTCCTCACCTGCTTATCCATTAATGCAGTCCCTCATTTCCCACCCCACATCCCATTTTGGGATCCTCCACTCTATACTCCCTTGTTCAAACAGTGGTTCCCCCCACTCCTCATCCCACCATCAAACACTGCAGTCCCCCTCTCCTCACTTCCAATCCTGTGGTACTCCAATCCTAACTACCCTATTCCATACTGCTGTCCTCCACTTCTCACCCCCGCTTCACACAATACACTCTAGTCTGTTCCACAAACTTTCCTGATCTGGTCAGGCTCACTATCGATAGTAAAAATTAAAAAAATTATAATAAACTTGATAAACAGTAGATCCAATGGTGCCAACAGCTTTGTTAAGGAACCTTTTCTAGGACAAAGCTCCATATTAAATTAGAAGTCTAGCAAAAACATGTATTTTGTTTTACACACAGTAAGGAAGGATTAGATCATCTGTCAAATTTATATTGTTGTCTGTTGTGGAGATCTCCCCTCACTTCCTTTCTAAGTGACAACTTCATGTTTAAGGACATTTGGAAATCATTCACTGTATCAGGCTTTCTCAATCTTTTTAACGTGGGGGAACCCTTGATAGAATTTTCAGGTCTCAGGGAACTCCTAAAAGTCATTACTACTATTATGGTACATTAATGTGAACAGTAACATCTTTTTTTTTCTTTATTCTGATACGGAGCCGTGTCAGAATAGAAAAAAAAAAGTTTTTGCCCATTGGAATGCGTTGCTAGATTCCTATTGGCTATTTCAATTTGCAATAACCAATAGTAAACTAGCATTGTACTCGCCCTCTGCTGATGGACCTGATGGAGAACTGCAGCAGAGGGCGGGTACAATGCTAGTTTACTAAATGCTATTGGAAATTGAAATAGCCAATAGGAATCTAGCAATGCATTCCAATGGGCAAAAACATTTTTGTTTTTTTTTTCTATTCTGACACGGCTCCGTGTCAGAATAAAGAAAAAAAAGAAACAGCAGTGTTTCTCTCCTTGGCGGCCGGGAGTTGGAGACTCCCGGAGCGCCAGGGAGAGTTTGCTGTTTGGAGATCAGTGTCCCTGGTTAGCAGGTAACTAGGGACGCTGATCTCTCTGCAAGTTGCCGGAGCCAGCCGTAAGATCACGGCTGCCTCTGCCCAGCTGCCAGAAGCAGGCTGTCGGCCGGCCAATGGCCAGTCGCCCGGCCAGCTTCGGCTTTCAGCACAGCTCAGCCGAGCCAATGCATATGCGTTTGGCTCGACTGAGCCGCTCGCCCACATTCGGGAGCTGTACGGGCTATTGTGAATTGCCCGTACAGCACCCCTTCGGTTCTACTGAACCAAAGGGGTCCTGGGGGCCGAAGCTAGCCAAAGGATCGGCCGAAGCTACGGCTAGATCCTTCGGCAGCTTCGTGAATAGACCCCATAGTGTCAACTATTTTCCATTGGTTATTGTTAACACTGAATTTTTTTTACATTTACCAAGTAAGGCAATATGATCTATAACTATTTGCCCTGTGTCCTGGTGTAAGTTGATGCTGAACAGATTAGACTTACTTAACTCAGTATTCTGAGAAACTAAGCTGACTCTCTGCTTAGCATTTGTGTGTATAAAGCTATTTCTCTCGGCACAACTTTTCCTTGATAAAACAACAAACTGATAATGGCTGAATTGCTTACTGATCAAAGTATTTTCAAGCACCTTGTGATACCTACACTTACTTTATAAGAAATTTGGTGTTTGAATGTTAACTTACAGCTGAAGTTCAATATGCTTATATTTTGCCTTCCCTGTTTCCTTCTCCTCATCAACTTGATAAAGATCTTCATTTTTTTTTAAATCATATCTTTCTGTTTTCATTACAAGCCTTATTTTAGTTCCAGTGACATATTACTGGGTCTCTGTGCTTCTCTGTGTAATGCAGGCAGTTTATGATTGGTGGGAGGGGCCATCAGGATGCTGAAGATAGCTTTCTGAAAACTTCACAGCACCCTGTCTCGGTACTCCTGATGCAAGCTGTGGGCTGGCTTTTGGGAGGAGTTAAGCACACATCAAAATGGGAGTTCCTAAGCAGACACCATGTGCATGCAGACCACCCTAGGTAACACTCACATGTGATTGTTATCCTCTATGAATGAAAGAACTGAAATCCAATAACTGAAAAGGGCAGGATAGGACAGTCAGGCTAGGGTGGAAAATGTTAGAGAATGCTGGACATCCTCCAGCCAGAAAATGAGACTCTATTTGATTTGCTTCAGCTTCTAATGCACACTGCAAGAAGCTCACAGTGTGCAGTGAAATCAGTGAGGGCAATTTCAGTACAGGTGAGTAGCCGGAACAATTGTACAAGACTGAAGGTAAGGCGAGAGTTCAGCCTTAATTCCTTACCGCTGGTGCCGCATTTGGAATGGGTCTTCTTGATCCTTACTATTACTGATTTTCATTAGAAATTGCTGATATAATGAAAGAACTAAGAAACAGAGGCCCTGATGTCCATTAGCCGGACCAGAGCAAAGTGACAACATGATATTTACATAATTATAAATGAAATAGATGATAAATGAATTATTTGTGACAGAGACAGTCAATGCCATTACTTTTAAATCCCTTACTGGTGTTTTTTTTTGGTAAATTCCTAATGGATGAACATCCTGTGATAATATTCCAAAAAACTGAATTGAGCAGTTTAATCACATGGGTAGAGCTTTAAGATAACCATCTTAATTATCAATTTAAAATAAACAGGCACGGCAGGCCTACTACTATTTATTAACAAAAACAACAAAGACATCTCTATGGACGATTAATATTTTGTGAAATAATAATAGTCGTTGTTTGACTCTCCTTGACATGCCTTCCACCTGTATCATCTTAATTGGATTATCTTCTCAGACACAATTTAGCGATGCAGGGCTTCTAATGAATTACACAAGTGCATTGTTGCTGCTATATTAAAGCTACTTGGTCACTGTGTTTGAAAAACCAAACTTCCCCTTACACATCCTTTTTCTAACGTTCATTGTCGTCCAGCAGACAGAATATTAAACCACTAGTCAGATGATGCAAGGCAAAGCTTTAAGTAAATACATTCCATTCTTCAGTGTGGCACAGGCACACTGTATGGCCCTTTGTTTTGTAGAGGTGCAACTGCTTGATAAAGAAAGGATTAAATCCCAGATTAGCTATTTGTGTGTATTGTACGTGACCTGTTTGAACTCATGCATGGCATTATTGTTGTTCCAGTTATGCTGACTTACTATGAAGTACACAATAACCTAAAGGTTTTAGCAATTCATGTCCTACAAGTCATAAGGAATAGCTTCTGCACGTGATATTTGACAATGTGTGAAAGATTACTCACCTCAGACACACTTTGAACATTGACTATTTTCTTAGACTGTGCCACAAATCCCAACACTCCAGTATCCAAAGGAAAAACAATCTCAGAGTCTGGTAGTACCAGGCATTCCTCCATGGTGGCATCCTTGTGCACATTGAAGAGTCTGGTGGCTAATTCGCCTGTACCATTTCTCATGCGGTACATGAACAAGCTCATGCGGTCTGCCTGAATAATGAAGGTGAGCCTCTTGAGTATGTTGAAGACACATCTGTCAACATTCAGGTTATCCTGGAACCCTCTAATCAGGTCAAAGACTATCTCACTTTCCTCCACGCTGCTTAGATCATGATAGGTGCTGAAGTCCACATTGGTCTTTTCGGTGCTCAGCAGCTCAAATAAAATTTCAGATCTGAATTTATTGTCATAGTAAGTTTTGGCAAAAGTAGGATTGGCATCTAAATACTTCTCTACTGCCTCCTCCGTCAAAGCGCTCATGTTGAGTACAATATGGTGGGCTCACGCTGTGCCTTCCTAGGAATGTTTCTGAATCCAGCGGTGATGGGTTAGAGCATTAAAAAAAAAAATTATAAATAATAACCCAGGGAAATTTAGGTATCCCCTGGGTATTTCTCCTTCAGGGGACGGAAGGAGATCTCCTACTCATGCCATCTCCTTGTTCTGAGCTGTAAGCCTGATTTGGAAGCATACGTGTAAGATGATTCTTAGCAAGGCCAGCATTATTCCTCTAATAGTGAAGGTGAAATGGGGATTACCCTGATCATTTTAAATGGTCACATGACACCACTGTAATCCAGTAACCAATCATAATAAAAGCTGAAACCCATTGCCAAGGATGCTAAATGCACTGCAGTTGGCAGATTACAAAAGACAACATGTTTATAAAGGAAAATTCATAATGATATCTCAGACTATGTTGCGGTCTGTTGGATAGAATTCTGTAGTTACACTATTGCATTCAGACTTACATACACTTTAGCAAATCTGTGAATGTTAGTTGCCAGATATCTTGTACCGTGTTTATGATGATTATATATTAATTTTCTCCTATTGTTTAAATGATGAATTTGCATAAAATTGCTGCAATTTAAGACAAGTAGGGCTCAGTTCACAAGGCTAAAACACTAGGATAATTATCCTTATTTTTTTTTTTTAACTGTTATTTTCAGTCAAATTACATTTGGAAAAATTACAAATGTCACATGGCAAAAAATACAATGCCATATCCTTGTGTGAAACTGCATCAATTGAGCCTAATAAAAAATGTAAATCATTAGAAGCCTTTGTTGTTTTCTAGAGCAAAAGCACTGGTGCACAGGCTGAAACTTCAGACAGCACTGAAACATTTTCATATTTTGTAAGGACTTGAGATGAGCAAATCAGGGTGATCTTGGACAGAACTGGATGCGTTTGGGACACAAATTTCTGACCAGTGCAACATATATGGCCCTAACTATGTGGGCCATTACCTTTTCGTCAAAAAGTATATTTAAAAACAAAATGTAGGCATGTGCACACAGCTTTTTGCATATTAATACATGTATTTTGTATTTTGCCTGGAGCCCTCTTTTAGGACAGATGTTGATGAACATTTTAGAGGGGGTCTGAGCCCCACCTGCACCAGACTGTGGTCAGCAGAGCTGCAGTTGCTCCCTTACCTTGTAGTATTATTATTATACAGGATTTATATAGCGCCAACAGTTTGCACAGCGCTTTACAATATAAGGAAGACATTACAACTCAATACAATTCAAGACAAGATGGTAAGGAAGGCCCCGCCCCTGAGGGCTTACAATCTAAAAGGGAGGGGCAAGTGATAGAATAGGCACAAATTCCCCAAAACACCCCAACAATTGTGGAAAATGATTTGCAATGAGCGGAGGCCATTATAGTGGCAATGTGGGAGGAACAATCTAATATCAGTGCCCTTGGTTTTGGAATGGGATGTCCAGAATCTCATATAGGTGTGACCTTATAGTGCATGTAAAGCTAGGGCCTATCTGATTGGATATAAATTGACTTACTAGTTCTGGCAGACTCAATCTAAAAGAGATTGCACAGAGATCACACAATTAGATATATGAGTGGCCAGCTTTGAATAGTATTTTGCAGGATGATGTGAAGATCGTTTCCTTTTTACTTTTAGGCCCCAATCACATCAGAAATGTTGACATTCGTTTTTCAATTAATTTGACCAGTTCACACCTCTGCGTTGTGTTGCGTTGCAGTGCGCTGAAAAAAAAGTAGAGCGTGCTCTACTTTTTTTTCAGAGCAATGCAACAAGTGAAAAATGCATGTAAACACAATACAATGCAAGTAAAAAAATAGAGGTTTAACCCCCCCCAGGACATGTTATTTAAAATAAAGATTAGCAAAAAAAAGGCAACTTAACAGATGTCAACGGACTATGAAATTGAAAGTAAAGTCCGTTAACATCTGTTTTAGGTCCAATTTTGGACCCTTAGGGGTCTATTCACAAAGCTGCCGAGGGCAGCCGAGTGAATGACCGATCAGAAGTGAAATGAGCCGAACACTGTTCGGCTATTCACTTCAGGCTGGTAAAGCTGATTTCAGCCGTACATCGGCTTGCTTCGTGTGGCTTCGGATCAGCCGAACATGCTCAGCATGTTCGGCTGACCCGAAGTGCAGAAGGAGTTTGACTCAGCCGATCCAACATCTGGATCGGCTGAGCCGAACCTCCGGCAGGCTTCACACTGCTGTTCGGGCTATTCTGAAAGATCCCGAACAGCAGTGAGAGAATAGCCGAATGCCGCCGAGCGGCATTTGGCTCGGCTGACTCTTCCTTACATTGCAATAAAAAAAGCAGCAGCATATTTCTAGGAAGGGTTTGACTGATCAAAAGCTGATGGAGAGGTGAGGTTTGTCTCCTCCCCTTTCTCTGGGTGCATTAAAATAGCAGCATATTTGCAGACTGTGTCTCTATTTTGCAGTGCTGGTATGGTGCTTAATTCATAAGGCAGTGCTAACACATAGGTCGTTGGCTGTTCACCAGCAGTGGTCTACAGCTATCACTCTTCATTATGGGAATGCTACTTGTAACAGAGAGGATTATATGACTCACATGATCCTCATAGTTACTGAAGTGACATAAGACTTTACAAGATGAAAAAGTGTTTCTCCAGCAGTGGGAATATGTTCCTACCACTAGCTACTGTACCTATGTTTTTTTTGTATTGTCCTCTTATGTGTTAGAACATATCATTTCTAACTATATCACCTTAATTTTTAAATATGCTCAATAGACTTCTGATCATCAATGTTTTTAGCTGTAAGTGATATTGCAATCCTTTTACCAGACTTTCTGAATTATGTTTTCTGGTCCTCTTGGGCCTGTACACGCCAATATTTTACTGCAAATGCATAGCGTACTATATCGCAATTCTTTCTGGTTCCGCTCATTTTGAATGGCACCTCAATGCACTAACACAACACACTTCAATGCAATTGCAGTTAAAAAAGGCATCTAAGACTTCAGGTGCATTGCAGCATATTTCAAATGAATGAGTTGTTTAAAATTCTGAATAATGCACCTTTAGGGCTTGTTCACACCACTTCCAGTGCATTCCAGCATGACTAGCTACTGGAATGCACTGGATCGCATCCTGGCCGGCTCCCTATGGGGCCTGGGGCGGAAGGGAGCCCCACTAGGGAGGATGATTAGGAAAACTAAAATGTAAAGTTTCCAGTGTGGAAGGGCTGAAGTCATACCTCAGGATCTTCTAGTTACAGATCCCCCTCTGTGCAGTAAGAAGCATCTTCTTATCTATCTTAGCAGTGTAAATCTATCACCCTCTGAACTTCTCATACAGACTTAAATTAACCCTGTATACCTAATAGAGTCACAAATCCAAGAGTTTCACCTAAATTCGTATAGGAGGGCTGAGTTTTGTGGGTCTACCACTAAAGTTTAATAAAGCTAGTTTAAGAAGTTTGTATTAGGGTTGTAAGTGCGTGAAAGAGCATTATTAATGTTATCATAATATAAAATATACAGTAATACCTTGGTTTACGAGCATAATTCGTTCCGGAAGCATGCTTGTAATCCAAAGCGCTTGTATATCAAAGCGAATCTCCCCATAGGAAATAATGGAAATTCAGATGATTCGTTCCACATCCCAAAAATATTCATATAAAATGATTACAATACTGTACTGTAATATAATAACGTATAAAATATAAAGAAAAATAAACCAATTACCGGTACCTTTTGTGGCCGGTGTGAGAGGGACAAGAGAGAGGAGGATTATTGTGTAGGACGACTTTCACTATCACTAACGGAATCACTGCTATCTCTTGGCTCAAAGGAATCTTTTTCATTTCGTGAAACCTTAACAAGGAATCTATCCAATGTGACATTGCATTGTCGTTAAACAGACTCATCGCTCGCACTGCTACAGCCTTATTCAGGTGGTGCTTTTCTACAAAATTTTGCTCTTCTTGCAAGACATTTGCTTGTATATCAAAGCAAAATTTTTCAGAAATGTTTGCTTGTCTTGCAAAACGCTCTCAAACCAAGTTACTTGTAAACCAAGGTATTACTGTAATTGTGGTTATTATTACTACCGAAAGAGTTAGCCTGGGGGCCCAAAAGTTTTGCTGTGGGGCCCCATGATTTGCAGTTACGCCCCTGTGTGTAAGTAATATAATCCTGGAGAAATACTCTTTAAGATGCTGTCTATCTATTTAATCCAGTGTCTAGTAGAATGAATAAACAGCTTGCTGCATATAGACGACTTATCCCTTAATGAGGATCTGAACGCTAGAAGCTATGGCCAAAAAAAGGTACTCAGAGGGCAAAGGACAAGTCATCACTAGTATGTTCTATAGTCTCCCTGCATCTGATCTTTTCCCCATTACTGACTTAACATGCCTTGTTGATGTGCACAGGTGGCCATCTTGGTAGAAGCAGGCTTTTGCTTCCTCATATCAGAGCCTACAACGAGGAGAACAGTGAGCTGTATTGACATCACCGAATCTCACTGCAAATCTCCTGTTTTTGTAGTCAAAGCAGCTGAGCCTTATACCTCACATTGACAATACTTAACTATGGGGCTGTAGGGTCCGGAAGGCCTAGACAGGCTTACATACATGGTATTTACTTACCTGAAAGTGCACTGCTGTTTTAGGAGGAATTCTAGAAAAAAAGACACAATTAACACTTCTCAAGGTTCCCTATAACATAGCAAATCTCTAATTTCAGGTCCTGGTCAGGAGTTCAGGTCTACCATTTGGGTTCTATTTAATAAACAATAACAATATTGCAAATCATTTCAAATCGCAATTTATCATGGTTTTTCTAAAAGTTTTTATTTCACTAGTGTATATATTCATTATATTAAAATAATAATAATAGATTATGTTTGTGGTCTCAGGTGTCGGGGTCAGCACTACTTTTTTTGGTACCATTTTGTTTAACAAATTGCATTTTGTTAAATGTTTTATTCCACTTGTTTAGT